AGCTTTGCAGGTTTTTGGTGGGTTGGTACAGTAAGTACATAACAATTATATTTTGCAGAGTAGTTAATAATAGGTCGCTAATTATATTACTAAGAGTATTTATGATTTTTTTTTTTTTTGTAGTTTATTGTTTGCTAACTAATATTATTGCTTTTTTTTTTTTAAAAAGAAGTCTCTATTGGGATCAAATATTTGATTATATAAGTTACATGCTGGTAAGCATTGAAGAGCTTTCTTTTTGCCAATATTTATATGTTTAATTCAATCTAACACTATTCTTTTTATACACTTCAAGTATCATTCAGGTGTTTTACTGCTTAATTTCTTTTTGTTAGGACAGTTTCTATTCTAATAACAAGAGCCAAGATTTTGTTCTCTATTAGGTAGTAGAAATTCTTCAAGCTCAGCCAGATATAGTTTCTTTATTATCTTTGTGTTGTATTGGATCAACCTTTTGAACTCATTTATTCTTTTGTTTCAGTCTTCACAGATCTGGTCCAAGTTTTCTAATAGGATTTATCATCTATCTTCAACTGACTTTAAATACCATTTTCATGCTAGTTTTTTATCTCTTTCAGTTTCAATTCTTTCATCTTTATCAATTTGTTTATCTTTTCTGATTTCAATTTGTTTATCTTTTTTAACTCTATTCTGTTTATCTTTTCTAACTCTATTTTGTTTATCTTTTTTAATTCCATTTTATTTAGCTTTTTTAACCTCATTTTGTTCAGCTTTTTCAACTCTATTTTGTTTACCTTTCTTGACTTCAATTCTTTCATTTTTTTTGACTCCATTTTGTTTATTTCCTTTAACTACAATTTGTTCATCTTATTCAACTCCAATTCATTTATCTTTTTCAACTTCAATTGGTTTGTCATTTTCAACTCCAATATATTTATTCTTTTAACTCTATTACATTCAGCTTTTCAACTTCAATTCCATTTTTATAGCATTCATCATCATTACATTGGGCATTCACATTTTCATTTTTATAGAATAACTAACATTAAATGCTCTATTAAAATTAATCATATTTGTTGATTTTTGATAATAGCTAAAAGCTTTATATTCATCTTTATTAACACCAATTTATTTATCTTTTTTAATTTCAATACTATTTTCATAACAACAGCTGATATTATATATTCCATTAACATTTCCTAACTTAGAAGCTTTCTGAGAATATTTGAATGCCTTGTGTTCATCATCTTCAGCTTTTATTCTTTCTTTATAACAATAGCTAACATTATATGTTTCTTTAATATCTTCTATCTCAGCAAGTTCATAATAAGTGAACACTATATGTTCATCTTTTTTGATCCTAATTCCATTTTTAGTATTTTTTAAATACTGTTAAAATGCTTTCTTTTTATTCTTAGCTGTATCTATTTCTAAATTATAGCATTGCCAAGAGTCATATTGTTCAGATAAGTCATCACTTTTAGCCAATTTTAAATACTACTTGGATGCATTGGTTTTCTTGTTCACTAATCTATTTCTTTCTTTCTTTATATAGCTTCTTGTGTTATTGGGAGTTTGAGCTCTTCTTTTTGCTAAGTGTTTTGTTTACTTCTTTCTTTCTGAAGTATTAAGTCAGCATTGTTTTCCTGAGGTATATGTCTTTTGTTCTATTTAATTTCTTCTTTTAACTAATAGGATTTCTTTCTTCTTACTTTATTTGCAATTTTCTGATAGAATTTTACAAGCAACTTGAACATCTAGAACTCTTTTTTACCTATTTCAGTATTCTGGATCTTTTTGCTTGTTTTCTTTACAAAACTTTTGACATATTTGGTAAGTCATATAAAATTTTCTTTGTCTAATTTCATTTTTTTTTTTTTACTTATTTTATTTTATTTTATTTTATTTTTTTTTTTTTAAAAAAAAAATATCGATTTAAGCTTTTAAGTTTATTTGTTAATCTTTAGAATTATATACATTATGCTAGGCTTTTAGGCTCTAATTTACTTTTAATTTTACTTTTCAGTTTTTCTGATATTACATCTTTATTGCATAATCAGTTAGATGGACACAAAATCGGCCTTTAGAGTATCAGTTGTTCTGTATTAAGTTTCTAATACTTAAACCAATTAGACTAAAAAGTATTTTCTATCTATTTGTTAGTTTTTGTTACAATTTTTTTATACTAACAGTTTTTTTTTTTGTTTTTGTTTTTTAAAAAAAGTTATTCCGGTATTACTAGATCAGTGTATTGACTTTCTTATAGCATCTGATGCTGAAACAACTTAGACAAGAAGTATCTACTTTTGGTTTTCTTTGTTTGTTATCTTGTTGTTTCTATTAATACTAACTTTTTTTTTTCTCAGTTCTTAATAATAATGTCTTATCTTTCTCTTGGCTTGCCAGAACACTAGAAACTAGGCTAGATTCTGTTTTTCAAATTTTAAAGGGAAGTATTACTCTTATTTTTTATTTTTTTTTTGTTTTCTTTTACCCTATATTATTTTTCTAACAGAAAAATATTTTTTTTTCATATAGTATGTCAGTAAGGTTTTGATTTGGTGATTTTTGGACTTGGTATGTTGGTCTAACTTCTTTAAGACTATGTAGTTCTTTAGACTTAGTATATCAGCTCAGGTGACAATTCTTTTTTGCTGATATATTGGCTTTCATCTTTCACACAGTGTGTTGATAAAATGTCAGTCTAATAGTTCTTTTGGACTTGGTATATTAATTTAGGTGACAATCTTTTCTTGCCAGTATATTGGCTTTTGCTCTTCACCCAATACATTAATAAGATGTTTATTTACTATTTTTTTTTTTTGTTTCTTTTTATTTATTTATTTATTTTTTTCTAATTTAACTTTTTTGTTTTTTGTATCAAGAAGAAAAGAAGGGAAGAGGGGGTCAGACAGATCTCACAGTTACTACCAATTGTAATAATATAAGATAAAACTACCCTAGAATTGCCTATTTATAAGGTAGCCAATAGGTCATTTATGTAACATAGAATATTATTATACTCGAAAAAGATGTTGAATTTAGTGAGTATAAGGTGAGTACTTTTTATTATTGTATTCTACATCCTGTTCTATGTTCTGTTACATTTTAAGCACATTACTTATATACTTATTTCCTATCTGCTATATATACTATATATGCTATATACACTATATATGCTATGTATGCTATATATGCTATATATGTTATATACACTATATATACTATATACATTATATATACTATATATACTATATACACTATATACACTATATATGCTATATATATTATACTACTAATCTGATTTTGTACATATTAATAATGATCCTATTTTGGATCATGACAATATAAATATTTATTAATTAATTTATTTTTTAGTATGAATAAAAAAGTTATTTATTTACTTATTATTTTGATTATTATAAGTTTTGTTTCTTCTGAGATCTTAAGAAGTAGAAAATTAAATTGTTCAACATGCTATAAGCAAGATATTATCTTGTATAGTTTCAATAAACGAACTCATATTAGTGTTAAAACACATAAATGTAAAAATCAAAATAAAAGAATCTATAGATATAGTATCTGTAATCATACAGATTACAACAAACACAGACATCAAAAAAGATAAAATTAAATAAATTATATATAAAAATATATAATTGTTTATTTATTTTGTAATACTATTATAGTTAGTTTACAATTAAATAAATATTTAAATAATAAATAAAAATATAATTGTTATAATATAAATAATTAAAAGATTACAAACTGTTAGTAAAATTGGTAATCATAAAAAATACAATATTAAAAAAATAAATGAAAGTATAAATTTTATAAAAAAATGTTGTACAATTGGCCAATTCTTGAAGTGAATTTTTTTAAAAATATTTAAAGTTATAAAAATATTTAAAATATATGCTAGTATTACATTTTATATTAAAGAAATAAGTTTTTTAATAAAACTTAATTCTAAAATAAGTAATACTAAAAAATCAAGTAATTAATTAAACTATTCTTTAATTGATTGTAGTAACTCTTTACAAAAACATCTTTTATAGTATTGTACTTTACATGCCAAATTTAAATTAATTAATTTTAATGCATTAATAGTTTTATTTTGTGCATCATAAGCTCTATTATAATCTGTTATTGTTAAATCACAACTTGTTTTAATATTTTTATTGTTTCATTCAAATCAATATTTTCTTTATTCTCTATAGAATTTCTTATTTTTATAATCTTATTACATAAAATAATTTTTTGTGTTTTCAAATTACTTTCATTCAAACTTTTTGATGCATTATCTGATTCATTTTTTTTAGAACTACTCATATTATTTTTGTTATCTGACATGATTAAAATAAAAAAAAACTTTAAGTTTATTTATAGTAATTTTTAACTTTTAAACAAAATAATAACTCATTTTAATATAATCCAAATAATACTTTAAATATAAATTTAATAATCTAATTATAATATAAACATATATTATCAGAATAAAAAACTACAAAAAAAAATAAAATTAGTTATATTATTTATATAAAAAAATAATTTAATTATAGTTACTTTTATTATTCAGATAATTAAAGTTATAAATGTCTATTAAACAAAAGTTAAATAAAGTTTGTGCTTAAAATAAATATTAATATGAATATATTATAAACTTACAAAGCTTGTAGTATAAATTATAACTTGATAATAATATTTGTTAAAAAAAGAATCCAATAATATATATTGATATATTGCATATTATATAGTGAAATTGTAAAATAGCATAAATAAATATATAAATACAGCATATTTATAAACTTTTTGGTAGTACTAAAACCTAAAAAATTATACATTTTATATTTTTATCAAATAAAAAATTTACTATAATAAAAATACCTGTTATAACAATTATATTAACAATACAATTACTAAAATAATAAATAAATATTTTTCATTTTTTTGTATATTGTCTAATTCTACATTTATTTTTTTTTTAATATTATTTTGTCTTTATAGAGATTTAAAATTTTCTCATTAGCAATAAGTCTTCATAAACTTTCTTCTGCATCAGCAGTATCAATTGGAACAGGTACCTGAACATCACTAAATTTTTGTAATATTTTATCTGTTTTAGAATTAATAAGATTTTTAATCTCTTTATTATCAATTTTATTAATTGCATCTTTAATTGCTTGTAAATCAGTATTAAGTTTTAAATTTTTTAATGCAACTTGAACAGCTTTTTCTACAATTGGGGTGATATTACCTAATTGCTTTAATAATTTATTATAATTATCTTACTATGTTTTAATTTTTTTATTTTTATTTTTAAGAATTTCTTCAATTCTTGCAGTTAATACAAGAATACTTTGTTTTTGTTGTAATGTATATGTTTAAACAACAGAATCAAATTGAATTGTTGTTTGAGGTTAAGTTCTTGGTATTTGTAAATTTGATGATTCAGTAGAAGTTGACATTTTTAATAAAAAATAATATACAAATATGTTTCTTTTTATATTTAAATTCATATTAAATTTTATTTTATATTAACAATATAAATAAATTATATAAATATAATATTAATCTATTTAGAAACATTAATGATTTTAGAGGTGTGGCAACCTAGTGAAGTGGATAGTTTGTCAACCTCCAAGTGGCAGGTCTAGAGTTCAAATCTCAGTGATAGCAAAAATTTGCAATTCTTTCTGTGTTACAGCTAACTGTCTTCTGTGATTGGTTGGGATAAGATACCTGTAACCCATGTTATACCAGCATAATTGGAAGGCTAGGCACTCGTACAACATTGTACAAGAAAACACAAACTGGTACTGGGCAGTATGAACCTAAGATAAGTTCTTAGGCCATATAAATCAAGAGAACTAGGTAGTAAGATGGAAGCCTACTTGAAAGACCTGAGTAGAGAGGTAACCCAAACTTTTGACGATGCTACTGTAAAGACTAGACTTATAAAACGGAACTAGAACTTGTGAAACCAGGCAAATATGCCAGTTTTTGAGAATGGACCAGATAAACCAACTAGGCCACCAGGATTTCTGAATTCCAAAGGAAAAGAGTACATGCTGGCAAACATGTAAACCAGAGGTGTATAGTTTTGACCTACCTTTCTGGGCTATCTGGAATGGCAGCTTGGTGGAACTTGAATTAAATACCAAAGTAGTAAGAATATGTTATGAAGTCAGTACTGGGGTTGGAGTGAACTCTACAAGGGCATAGTAGTTTAATGATACGCCCTGACTGCAAGTGTTGGTCTTAGTCATAGTGATACCAGATTAGCTATAAGAATGGGATACAGAAGATTCTGAAAGGTTTAGTACAAGGTCAAAGGTTTTCTATATGAGTAAACCACTTTAAAAACTTAGTAACCATGGCATATTTGAACCAGTATCGACTAGGACATCTTGGTAGGTGTAGGTAGATTGGTGAATATGGGAACAGAGTAGTTAAATAGGGAACCTACAAGCAGGTTCTAGGTATGGCAGCTAGTGTAGAACCTTCAGGTGGACTACTTAAATTAGACAATGACTAAAGTTGTACAAGTGGCTAGTTATACACTCTTTCTATGATTGTTCCCTGTAGTTGTAAAGCAACCATTAACTGAATATACTATCAATAAAATCCTGGATCGCAAGTACTTAGCTTAATATTTAAAAAAAAAAATAATATCTTTATGTAAATCACATTAAATCATATAGTATCTTGGTATCTACTTTGATGAAAATAGTTCTACTAAACCAACTTTTAAATGGTTCAAAATAAAATTGAAAACTTTTTTTTATTAATAAATATAAAAAACTTATATCTAAACAAATTTCTACACTCTTTAATATAATACTACAACTATTTTTAGAATATCTTCTACAAAGTTTATCTATATTCAAGTTATAACAATAAAAACTCTTATAACTACTTTCTATTACAACAAAAAAATGCTTTATTTAGCAAAAAATATATCTAATATTCTTCTTACAAATTCATTATTTTTTAAACTTTCAATATTTCAACACTTAACTCAAAAAGTTGCAATATTAACAATAGAACATATCTTCTATTCTACTTCACTTTTTAAACATATTGGTGAAGGCAGAATTAAAAATTGGCTTACTAAAATATGACAACCACTTTTCTTCCAATTATACTTTCCAAATTCTTACTTAAAACCAAAAATTTTTTCTTTATTTTTCAATTTTCACTTTTACATAACTTTAACATTTATTTTTTACTTAATAACTCATTAAATTTATCATCAACTAATATTCCTATAGCAACAAAAACAATATATGACATTCTTTTATCTAATATCTCACCCTCTTTAACAAATAGTCTCTATAATAATAAAATATTTTTTATTGAACAAATCACAATTGCTGACAACTTATATCTTTTATCTTGAAATAATATATATATATAAACTAAAAAATCTATTCATGAACCTACTCCTTTCTGGTTTATTAAACTTTGTAATCTAATTTAAATAATACTATGCACCAAACATGGCCACATCTTAACCTACCTAATATTAATAGTTTTATTAATTCTCTTAATACAATTACACTCTATCACCTATTATTATTAAATCAATGATCAATTTTTCTTAATAATTTTTAAATTCTTTTTACAAAGAATTTATCTAATTTTTTCTCAATCAATAATACTGCTCATGGCTTAATATCATTGACTTTTGCTAACTCACCTAGTTTAATATCTCAAATTTTTATTAATATTTCAAATATTAAATCATTAAAAAAAGATAATATCTACTCTTTTAATATTAATAATTATAAAATTTATGCACTTATTAATATATTACAACAAACTTCTCCATCATTTATACCAACTTAAACCCCAATTATATACATTTTTAAAATAGAAATACAAATAATATAAAAATATATATTATTCTCCAACTACCAAAATTAACTCATTAAATTATTTTTATTAGCAAAAAATCTCCCAAACAATACTCATTTCTATACAGATGCCTCAATTATTAATGTTCAAACATCACATTCTAAAATTGGAATTGGATGAATTTCTGAATACAATATTCAAATCAAATTTAACTGTTTTATTTCTTTATATCCTGATTCTATTCAAGCAGAAATTGAAGTAATAATATATCTTCTTCTTATCTTGTTAATAAATTCATAAAATAATATACATTTAGACAATCTCTCTATACTTAAAAATATTTAACTATTTCCATTATTATATAAATTCTCATATATAATAAACTGGGATATTTATTTATCATTTATCATCTTATTAAAACAAAGTCTCTTAATATCTCTTTTCATAAAATCAAATCTTATTCTAATAACTCTTTCCACAATCAAGCAGATCTCTTAGCCAAACAAGATACTAATAAATACCAAATCGCATCCAACTTTAAAACAATACTTACTTATCACTTTACATAACATAATTATATAATTTCTACTAAAACTCACTCTATTCTCCAAAATACGATAACTATTTAATCACTTCTTACTTGATTACAACTTAAATAATTTCAAAACCCACTTTTTATTAAATGGTCTACCAATTTTAATATTATTAATTCACTTAATAATGATCAAAAATTCTATTTATTTCAACTAAAAATTATCAATAACAACTTATCAACTATACAAATCTTAATATATACCATCCCTTATTATACACTAGTCCAAATTGTGTTTATTGTCAATTAATCAAAGATATACCTCATCTATTAACTTGCTCTAAACAAAAATTCAACTTTTAACAAATTCTTCATAGCTCAACTACAAATATTACTCAACAATTAAACATCTCTACTAAAATTACAAATACTATTCACACTATATTATTCTACTACCTTAATACATTATCATATCTTAATTTTTTGAATCTTATCCAAGGCCTTTACCTTATATCTTTATATGATAATATCAAAATACTTCTTTATAAAACAATATTACCCTTCTTCACAACCTTATCGAATGCTTTTCTTAATTGGTTCTATAAACAAATATGGCTACTATATAACACTTTTTAACAATAATAGGAAAAAGCTTGAAATATAACTAACAAATCCAAACATTCAAAAATCTACTCTCTAATTTTCATTTCAATCAATATCTAATATCTTAAATACATTTACTATTAACCTTACTATATCTATTAAAAACTGGCTATTTTTAGCTATTCACTTACTAACTGTATTTACTAAATGTCAAGACTATTACTTTAGATTTTTCTTCAACCTTCCTATATTTAAAATTAATTTGAAATAATTAATAATAGTGTTATATAGAAATGAAAATGTAATGTTATATTGGGTGTCTTAAAATAAGTAGCACAAATGTAGTTTAGAAATCTTTAATGTAATTCTTCTATTACTTAATAAAGTTTCTACTTTGGCATTTCAAAAAAAAAAAAAAAAAACTAAATAATTTGATAACAGTATATTAGAATATAATAAGAATATAAAAAAACATAATAACTTAGTAAAGTGGCATGTTGTCAACTTTTAAGTAGCAGATTTAGAGTTCAAATTCTAGTGTTGATGAAAATTTGAAATTCTTTTTATATTATAGTTAACTATCTTCCATTCTTGATTAGGATCAGATATCTGTTACTTATGTCATACCAGCATAACTAGAATGTTATCTGGCATTTATACAATATTTGTAATACAGAAGTTTCTAAAAAGTTTAGTTCAAATCAAAACTTCTTTATATAAATGAATGCTTTAAAGACTTAATAAACATGTTATATTTTTATCAGTATTAATTAGGATTATTAATAGATATAGATAAATGGATAAATACAAAAACTAAAGTGTTTAAATAAGAAACTTACAACTATAACAAATAGTATAAAACCTTCAGATAAACTACTTAAATTAGACAATAGCTAAAGTTGTATAGTATCTAGTTGTATACTTTTGTTATAATTGCTCTTTGTAATTGTAATTTAATTATTCAGTAAATGTACTATTAATAAAATTCTAAATTACAAATACTCATTTTAATATTTAAAAAAACAAATATAATAAGAATAAGTATACATTACTGATTAGTATTAATAGTATAAATGTGTTTGTATTTAAAATATTTTATAAGTAATACTATATATTAAAATTTTTGTAATTATAAATAATAGTATTTTATATATTGTATTGTTTGTACTAATATTTTTTTATAATAAGTATACTTTTTATATTGAAATAAATTTGTAAAAATAATAATAATAGGTTTTAATACTAGTAAATCAGTTTTGATAATAAATTTTTAAATATTCTTAATAAAAATTAAAATATTAAATTAATATCTAAAGACTATTTAAACTTCTAGTAAGTTTTAAAAATAATATATTCTTAAAAGATAATGTTTTTATAATTATTAATTAAATAAATATTAACAACAAATTCAACAATATAACTAATTTTTTTTTTAAATATTAAAATAAATACTTATGAACTAAGATTTTATTAATAATATATTTAGCTAATAATTGCATTACATCTACAGAAGGCAAACATAGA